TGCATCACGAGTTTCCCCAAATAAGAACACACTAAGAGCTCATAATTGACAATGCTGGTGAAGTCTCATCATCATCATCAATGAAGAACCAATGTTGATATCCTATCTGGCGCTCGATGCCCAGACTAATGATGGCAGATCCTATCTAGCCTAGACTACAATGCCGAAGATGATGTCAACAGCTTTCCTGAAGTACGAGCATTCAGCGACCAATGTCGCACGCTTCCAGCACCAGGTATGTCTCTTGCCTCACTCACAACCTCGTTCCCCAACACACAGATGCCACTTGCACCCAAGGACCACCCGGCGCCACACCCAGCTTACAGCAGCGCAGCTCGGCTATGGCTGCCTGCTCCTTCCTGCTCGCGCTGGCCAGCTATTAGCGCAGCAGCGCTTGCGCAGCATGCAGCCAGCACCCGAATGTCAAATGCGGAGGCAGGCCCTTTGCTATATGGAAGTGGCCTGCCTGCTTGCTGTCCCAGGCTGCGCTAGGCCTTTCCCAAGAAGCTTCCGGTAGGCCCCGGCAGGCTGAGGCCCAGTCCAGACAACTCAGGCCCTGGGCCTGTAGTGGTTGCTTGCGCCCAACTGTCAACGGCCTGTGTTAGGCCCACATCCCGTATCCAGCCCAGGGCCTGCCTTCAATACATTCAAACAGGCTGCCCAGGGCGTGGGTTCTTCTAACCAACTGGCGCTGCGCAACTGCCTGAATTTCCTTGAGTTGCGTGGTGACCAAAATAGGGGCGCTCAGGCCCTCGTCATGCTTGCCTTCACTTAGGGCGGCCGACGTGATACTTGGCAGGGCCTGAAAGGGCCTCATAGGGGCATAATCCTCGCACTATTGTCTTAGGCCAGTTTATTCTCATTTCAGACGCCAGCTGGAATGCCAGCATTGCTCTCGTGAGGGCCTCAAATGATGAGGTCGAGGCTCGTGCAATCAGACTCACTCTCATTCACACTTCACATGTATGCAAACAGGTTGCGCAGCAAACTGGCGTCAAGCGCCCACTCAGAACTCAGAGACATAGTACCAAGAACGCAGCTCAGATACAAGTTCACTTCAAACGGCTATGGCGGCACACCGCCTGTACAACTCTCTGTTCGTCACTTACTCAACAGTGCTGTTCGCACACAGGACCACCCTGGATATCCCACACGCAACACCCTGTACACCCTCACACACCCGCACACACCTACATCTATGGCGGCTATGGCTGCTGCTACCCTATCGCTATGGCTAACTTCCTTTTCGCCCACTACGTCTCCGTGCTCACTGCAGACCACCTCGCACAAGTCGCTGTGGCAGCGCTTCCGCATGGCTTACGCAGGAATGGAATGAATGGCTGGGCGCGGCCTCTTGATTTATACTTCTGTAACTCACTGGTCTTCCCTTTTCCATCGGCCCATGGTGTACACAGTCCTTCATGGTACTTGCTGGACTGGACTGGGACTGACTGGACCGGTACCGCTGACTGCATGGGTTTGCATCGCAGACTCACTGCAGTCGCACTGCCAACGGACTGAGGTTGGCTCCACCACTTGCCCACTTGCCTCTGCCTAAACGTGAGCCCACTCCGAAAGGCCACTTCCGGAACCTTCCGGAAGTCTGTAGACTTGGCCTTTCGGGTACTGTAGCAGCTACGACCTTGACCTTTCAGGATCCCTATAATTACGACTTCTACAGGGTTGGGACTCCTACTTAACAGACCTACAGATCGAACCCCGACCACTACACAGACCTACGACGGACAACAACAACTGTCAAAACACAGGTCACGGGTTCAAACACTCGGGGTCGACACAGATACTGTACACAGGTAAGGTGAGAACTAGGGATCGAGCCCTGGGATCTGCATTCGCTACTGCTAAAAGGTGAAAACCGTTTCACTCGAATCAGCACCGTTAAATCATCAGCAAACAGGAGCGTCGTCGGTAATTGGATCAGTCTGCCCTGCTGGTCCGGTTCTGCTGTCAAGCGTTGGATGGAGGGATCTTTTTTGAGAAATGATGCCACCACCTCCATTATGAACAAAAAGATGGGAGCTGCTAAGGGGTCTCCCTGGCGTACTGATCTTCAGGTCTGTCCTTTTTCGTTTTTCCTTATTTGTTTCCCACTTGTTCACTTATTGGTCCTCGCCTGAGTGTCTCTCCTCCTCCTCCGAGGCGCTAGTGCACTGATTCGTGATATGCCAATCTCTGAACTCTAGGTATAACTCCAAAATTCATTAGAAAGTGAGTTAATTGCGCTTTCAAAATTTATAGCGTGAGCGTTTGCGCGAGATACCCGGGATTGTGCCTGAGTGGGAGGGAAAAAGGAGGAAGGAAGTGCCTATGTCTGCATGGCCAGGCCGAGGCGTTGGGAAGTAGCCACACTCCACACATCGATCCAGTCATGCAACGTTCAGACCAGTAGGACAGGGGAAAATATGTGCACGCAAGGGCGCAACGAAGATATCAAGGAGGGGATTACAGTTACATCTGCGCTCTGCCAAGAAGAGAATTAAAGTTACGCGTGAGATTTAAGGCGTGGAAAAGCCAGAGCACAGATCCTGACGCGACAAAGCGTGGGCAAGCAAGAAGCGTCGTGCAGTTGTCGGCAAAATTGCGATGCACCCAAATTCCTAACCTAAATCCTAATTACAAAAAGAAATTTGAGAAGAGAAATTCCGAGAGCCCGCGGGGGCTCGACGTCAGTTGAAAATTCAAAAAGATATTCCCGCGCGATGATCGCGCCAAAATTCCCATTTCCCACAGCAGAACAAGAAAGAAGCTATGGCAAAAGTTATTTTCCGCGCTCGCCAAGGCGCAATCAACTATCAACCGTTGTGAAGTAGCGTCGCGCAGAAAGTCGGGCGGTTACAGAAAACAGTTCATCACATCACCACCGGGGTGGCCGATCCAAGGCAATTCAGAGTTGCCGCTGTTTAGTCATCTTCTATCAGCAGAGTTCGAACAGGTCTATGTTTCAACAGTTCGTGGGTGTACCAACTGAGCTAGGCTCATTGGTTCCAAGATCGGTCCCGGTACTGGTACCGGGCCTTGAAGGAAAATGGGACCTTAAAAATAAAATTTGAATATTAATAAATAGTAAAGAAAGAAAAAAACAGGCATTTAAAAGTGAGAGAGAGGAACCACTGGGACCTCCTCGGTCCTGGTACTCGGGCCCGCAGGCGGACCAGTTAGTAAAACCAAAAGGGATAGTCCCATGGGACCCTCGATCCCTCGGTTCCCTTCAAGCTGCTCCATTGCTCCTTCGTCGCCGGTCGCTGGCCTCGATCCATACCTGTCATATGAAAGTCCAGTGTCATAACATATAGGGCTAGGCCCAAGTCTGAGTTTAGCTGGCGCTGAATAAAATATAAGGAGTATTCCGCCCCAGCCTACTGGCCGAACCCATGGCTGCCAAGCCCCCTCGCCTACTGCGCGAAGTGTTAGGTTCGTATTTACCTTTACCTTGCACGCCACTTACCATGCAAAAGTTTTACCTTCGTTAATATTTGTCTATGCAGCAAACAAAAACTCAACTTTTCCTTAGGTCGGGCTCCGTCTCCCGCCGGCGCACACACCAACTACCACAATTAAGTTGCATCGTTGACAATGACTCCAGCTTCCACAAACGATCACTCGGCAATTTACTGCTTTCGGTGGCCAAAAATCCTAACTTTTATTTGTGCCGGACTCCACTTATGCACACCTTGCCGAGGCTGGAGGAGCTCTACCGACCACTAAGAAACACAGCAACTTCCTCCTACACAAATCCAATGCCGCCTTATTTGAAACATCGGTCATTACCTCAAAATGTGGTACGGGTAGTGGATCTAGACGTCGGTTGTGACAATACCGCTTCCGCACACATGCACTTAATTTGCACGGCCGTGCTAATCGAGTTTTCAATCTTTTCTGTAGTTCTGACCATTATGCAATCCACTGATCACACCAGCGGTTCACAACGCCGGATATCTGGATAATCAATGCGCGCCTCAAAATGCGTGCCCGCACACTCTTTACTTTCCCTCAAACAGTCGCACGTGCTCGGCCGCGACTCTCACAGCTCACCCAACTTTCCAGTCTAAACTCATTTCTGTCACTTGCAAAAACAAGGGCGAATACCCTTGTAAGGATATTTGCGCCGACACCGCCTAACCTGGTGCCGCCCTTTGTCGTTTGGTGTTGATGGCTATGGTGTCGTCTTCGCCACACCGGTGGGCGTGGCGTGTCCTCTCGCCTCACGTTGTACTTCCCCTTCGAAAATTCAAGGGGGTGCATTCAAACTTCGCGCTTCCCGTCCCCGCCCAGGGGGGCCGGCTGTCGGCACAAACTTCCAGCGGAGCGACACGAGGTCACTGCAGACAGTCGCTTGAGTGCTAACTGGAGGCGCTAGTGCAAAAAAAAAAAAAAAAAAAAAAAACCTGTGTTCTTATGGCATAAAGTTTAAGAAACCATATGGCTATTATTTTCCCCTCGCACTCTCAGGCCCTTCTCTGGTTGTTTGGTTTTCAACTTTTCGCACTGTTGCAGTGACAGTGGAAAGTGTGAGGTCGCGTCCCTGCAACTCACATGTTGCCATTTTCAGAGATCCCAGGACTTGAACTGATGGCTTCTGGCATGCACAAAGGAAATATGTCGAACAGGCATGCATCAGACCACCAAAACAATCCATATGTACATATCTTTTTTTCGTTTTTTTCTTTTTTTTTTACGAAGGGGCATTCATATCATTAAAGCAGGAAACCTGGTCCAGCGTCCCTTACATCAGATGGAACACCCCTGCAGTGGTAAGGCTCACCCACTATAAGGCGGTCATTCTTCAAACCATAAGACCATGCTTGTTCCTAAATATAATGTGTTCCCCAGTCGGCCACAAACCGACTCTAGAATAGTCTGGAATGTCATTTGGGAACGTGTAGGAGTGGAACGACCTGTCTTCCCTTCCTTGTATGCATCGTTTCGCCATCATCTGCGGCATGCCTCACACTCAGTCAACTTGTTTCTGATGTTTGCAGGCAAGGAGTGAGTTGTCGAAGGGCAACATGCAAGAGGTCTTGGACAGCCGGATTCCGGACGGATCTTACAACTTGAATGCTGTATGGAAGCTTGCAGACATTGCAATGATGTGTTGTGAGCCCATCTCGGCAAACCGCCCGAGAATTGGTCAGGTAGTAAGAAGCATTCAGGCGGCAAAGGATGAGCAAATGAGGACTCCCATCGTTCAAGAAGTTCCTGATGATCCTTCATCAGATGATGACGATCATGGTGGTCTCACTGTTCAATGGTGAGCATTCCACACCCCGTCTTGTCCCACTGGATTGATGGAGAGTCATGCTGCATTGTGTTGTTAGGAGTGGTGGGTGTTATATGGATGTATCTGAGGGGCACTGATGTTTTAGTCACTGAAGAGTTGAAGGTTCATTATAACTGCCGTCACTGTTACGTTACATACCCGTGGAACCTGCCCAAAAAGACCCACCGTGAGTTGACATCGGACAGAGGTTCCGGGGTGAAGGTGGCGAGGGCTACAGACAGAACTGGTGACGAGAGTGATGTAGGGTGATTTGTGACAACCAGGAAGCCCCTCGGATTATAAGTGATCGGCTCTCCCGGGGTGAGGGTTGTGTGGGCTAAGGCCGCGGTGGGGTGACGAGATAGACGACGTGATTGGCCTGCCAGACGGAGGTAGATAGGGACAGGACTTTGCTCGCCATCAGCAGTGAGCATCTCCAAGTCAATGTCGACATCAAACCGCAAGCATTGTTCCTGATTCAACCCCCTGCCAACAAAACGAATCAATCAAGCAGATAAATCCAAAAAAAAAAAAAAATCAAGACAAAATAAGCTCCTAAAAAACACAAACTGGCACCTGTGAAGCTGTGGTCTTCTAAGTCGGCATTGGAAAATCAAAATATCACTAGGGGGTGTGGGTGGAGTACAGATCCGAAGGAAAACATATCACCATGAGAATTATGCAGAGACACTAATGTTCTCACAAAAGAGCATAATCAATGTCACTCTTCTTTGGAGCAATGCGCCAGAAGGCAAACCTGCAGACTGACCTCTCTTCCCGTACCAGCCAGCAAAAACTCTTGGTGATGCCAAAAACAAACTGGCCAGGAGAGAACGCTCCCCTTACAACTGAAAGCAATTCCAACCTTCTCCATGGGCAGTCCCTGGATCTCACAAGGGTGCGACCCAACCAAGCTACGACTAGGATGTGGGCAAATCTGGTGAGAAATCTGTTGCAAGATAAATCAATAGCGGTCGGTAGAAGAGAAGGGGGCTTGCAATCCGGGGACTTGCGGATTTCACTGGGAAATTTTACCTCGGCCCGGGCTTTCTTCCTGTCTCAACTCACAACTTTGTCCGATAGCAGGAAGAGGTTTATATCAAGCATACGAGCAATTGTATTTTCATGATGCAGCATACAAATCCGCAAATGAAAAGAATCAAATGGATAGGTCAATGATTGTCAGCACTTAAGAAGCGTGAGGCACTGGCATAAGAATCCTTCCTCGTTGAACCCACCTCAGAATCCATGTTCACCACCTGGAGCATGCATGAAGTCGATAAACGTGCAAGTGATGAATGGAAGACTTGCGTTGCAACCGATCGGAGGTGCGCATTCACCCCTGGGTCCCCCAACAAAACTGGGACCAAAGGAATGGAGATCCCAGATGGTGCAGGGGCAATATTGTGCAAGGAACCAACCCACATGCAACTCTAAAACGCCACTTGCAGCACACCGAAAGCTCACAGAACACTCACATAAGCATCGAGATGGCAAATCAGTTCACACCGAAATGAACGCTCTTCAAATTTCAAAACAATTATTATTATACAAGAGTTGAGTTCCGAAGTCCAGCAGCAACAGTCACAACCCAAAACCGCAAAGATCCGGTAACTTCAACCCTAGCTCCCTCTCTCTCTCTCTCTCTCTCTCTCTCTCTCTCTCTCTCTCTCTCTCTCTCTCTCTCTCNTCTCTCTCTCTCTCTCTCTCTCTCTCTCTCTCTCTCTCTCTCACACACACACACACACACACACACACACACACACACACACACACACACATACCTCTTCAGGCCCTCAACCTCGCTCGCTCACTCTCTCCCTCCTTGTCCTTCAATTGCTCATGCTCGCTCCCTGAATGCACTTGTTGTCCCTCTGTCCTATCCTAAGCTCGAGCTATGGCCACTGTCTTCCTCTCGGGCAACCCTAGCTATGGCTCCGCTTCCCTTCTTCTTCGTCAACGCCGCCTATCCAACTTCGTCCTAGGTCGCACAAGTGCCACAGCAGAGCTTCCGCAACAAACGAATTGAGAAGTGAAGTCAAGAGGTACTGTAGCATCTATAAAGAGCAGCTCCGATCAATAGGTACTACAGCATCGACGACCACATTGTAATTTCGTTTGACCAGTTTCAACTCAATTTTGAATTCGTCTATCTCGGTCGCCCACCTTGCCAGTTTAGTGGACATATGGGCCTCCTCAACCAGCATAGGGGTCTCAATGATCCGAGTAAACTTTGAAGTGCCTTCCTGACAAGTAGTCTCACAAGTGGGCTAGAGCCTCTCTCAACGCGAACAACTCTCTCTCTCTCTCTCGTACTTTATCGCACGGTAATCTTCTAGACATGAACTTTACATCCCGGCAGCCATTCCCATCATTTTGATGTAACACTGCACCTATGCCATACTGGCTTGCGTCCTAGTCACGATGAACGGCAAGGATGGGTCCCCTATTTTTAGGACAGGGTACTCGATTGAACTTATTGAGCATGGAGGAGCCGTCTTTATCCTAGAGCCAGGCTGCTTCCCTCTTCCGCAACTTATGTACTGGGGCAGCGACAGTGGTGACGTTCGTTACAAACTTTCAGTAGTAATTGGCTAGTCTTAGGGATGACCTCAACTCAGTCTACGTGCATGGCGTTGGCCTGTCCCGAATCGTTGCTATCTTTGCATCCTCCAGTTTAACTCCGTCTCTCCATCTACCATATGTCCTACATACAGCACTCGGCGCTTGGCCCACTCACACTTTTTCGGGTTTAGTCTAAATTTTGCTTCTCTCAACTTACTCACTGCTAACTGCAAATGTTACCGGTGTTCGTCAGGAGTCTTACTAAAAATCAGAATATCACCGACGTATACAACTACTCTAGTTAGTCTCTAAACAAGTTGTTCATGCATCTTTGAAACATAGCAGGGGCCACGAACTCATACTGTCCGTACCTCACCCAAGAAGCCGTTTTGTGCTGATCTTTGGGTTGTACCTGTATCTGATGGTACCCTGACTTCAAGTCTACTTTTGAAAACCACTCGCTGCTCCACAATCTGTCTAATAGATAATCTGTGCGAGGTAGTGGTCTGCGTTTTTCACGGTTATGGCGTTTAATCCCCGGTAGTCAATACGCATCCGCGACACACCTTCCTTCTTGGGGACGAACAAGACCGGTGCACTGTATGGCGGCGAACGAGACTTAATCCACCTCTTCTCTGTCAACTCGTCTAATTCACTAGTAGACATCCTGTAGATTGGCCCCTTGGGGTTCTTGCTACGGGGTTCGATCTCTATTCAGTGCTTGATCCCTCTCGATTACTCCGCTTGGGGCTTCTACTACATCTGCAAAGTCTTCCAATAAGGCCTCAATTTGGGGGAGTGTTTTGACTTCCTCTACCTTGTCGTCACTTACTGCTCTTACATTTGCCACGAACACTTGGTCAAACAGTCTCTCCGTGACCACGTATCGGGCGAACGCAGGTGCACTCGTGCAACAAAGGGACAAGACGGACTGGACCCCGGACTCGTGGGCAGAGCTTAATCTTTTTCTTTGTTCCTTCGCTGCTGGACAGCCACACTCGTGCTCACCCAGTTTGATATCGGCCTGCGCCGGCCTGCGCCGCCTCTCCCCAGTCCGTCCCGAATGACAGGTCAAAGGGTAGGCTATCTTCCGCTAAGAGAGTTAGGGAATGCAAAGCCTTCTCTACACTCTTCCCCTCCCTCTAACTGGAAGTATACCCTCACTTTTTCAACATAATCTTCAACAACTCTCATTTACTGGCTCATCCAATTTTAACACCTTCATTCCAAGATCCGATTTCTTTAAACCCTGTCCACTAATATAACTCCGGGTCGATCTGCTATCAACTGAGGCTCCTGCATGTGTCCTATTGACTTCTGCATCGGCTAAAATAAGCTGCCCTTTTCCCTTCTTCTTCATTTCGGCCCAAGCTTGGTGGCGTGTGGTCAGTTCGTCACCTATGCGTGCAAGGGAGCCACCTAGAGAGACCCTAGCACAAACGATCTCTAGACAACCATCTAGGTGGGGCCCTAGGCTAAAATAAGCTGCCCTTTTCTCTTCTTCTTCATTTCGGCCCAAGCTTGGCGGCGTGTGATCAGTTTGTCACCTATGCGTGCAAGGGAGCCACCTAGAGAGACCCTGGCACAAGCGATCTCTAGACAACCATCTAGGTGGGGCCCTATATTTGCCTCTGTCATTGGGGCCTGCAGACAAGAGGGTGCCAACTCTAGTAGGAGCAGCTGCCACTTCTACTGGCCATTCCCTTTTGCTTGCTGACGCAGTTCAGGGCAAAAAGGAACGATGTGGCTCTGGCTCCTGCACTTGAAACACAAGCCCTCCTCCCTTTGATTCATCCATTGGGCCTCGGGCTTCTTCATGGCCTTCCAGGGTTCTCCTTCTTCCCTCCCTAGATTAGGTGGGTACCTACTTGGAACACGGTAATTGCCATTCCCAAGATTGGCGAGAACAAAGTTCCCACCCCTTCCTCCTTGAGGGAAGGATCTACCAGTGCCCCCTTGTGGGGTACCATATCCCCTATCTCCTTCATGGAAGCCTTCGTTGCTCCCATCCCCCTGGGCAGCAGGGCCTCGACCTCCCCTTCCTCCACCATGGCCTCTTCTACTTCGGCCTCCTCCACGCCCTCCCCGCAGGCAACTGTAGCCATATAATCCCCTCCTTCGACTATTTGGTTGCCATCTTCCTCCAACACATAATATATCTGTTCATAGGGGAGTTCCTCGACTCCCCCTCCCTCGGAAGTCACCAAAAGGCCATTTTTCCCCTGGATGTTTCGGGAGATGGTATTGCCCTTCCACTTCTTATCCCACTCGAGCTCCTCGTAAAAGTGGTAGTTGGCCTTTGCAGAAACCCGGCCTGCTCTACAGCATGCTTGCTGAAGGCCTCGTAGGTTTTTCCAGGCTCGATGGGCTTCGTGTACAAATGGGACTTGGGCGGTTCAGGTAGTGCTAGGACAAAAAAATGATTCAATATCTAGGAGGGGGTAGCTTCGTGGTCCTTGATCTGGATCCGTTCATCTGTTGTGGCCTTCACCGCTGCCAGACTCTTCCACCGTTCTATGTTGAGTATGAGGTACTCGGTCCTTCTAGCACGAGTTTTGTCTTCGAATCTAATCTATTGAGAAGTTCCTCCAGAAAGTCGTCTATGTTAGTGATCTTTGTCCCGAACCATGTTCCTTTTGCACCGGCGGCATCAACTAGTGACTTGCTTAGTTCAGCGCATCCCCCCCCCTGACACGAGACGACCATCAGTACTTGTCCCTCGTATGGCAACTAGGACTGTAGTAGACTGCTCAGACTGTATGGACTAAATAGACTCGAGTGGATTGTACGGACTGACTGCACTCCACTGGACTGTATGGGTGCACTACATACAGGACCTACTGAATGGGCCTAGCACCTGCTAGCTTATCTGTAGCACGAGTACTATGGTACATGGGACTGTGGCACAGGGACTGGTACAGGACTCGAATACTTTTGAACGTGTTCTTTTTGCAAGACTGGATCAGGCTGGAGTTGGGTGCTGTTTGGAGATGTGTTCAAGGCAACCATTTTGTGGAATGGCTTTTGTATACTTGTAGTTAGTTTCTCAATCTGCATTGGTTGATGAGCAATTATAGTTATCATAAATTTTAACGTTTTGTAATTTATTTTTATGCATTGGCGCTAACCATTTTGATCAGTTATTGTTAATCATCATAGTTTATATCCTTTCACTTTTCCCGACAGCACTCTCATTCTGACAAGCTTCTCTGGGCTTGCCTGCAGGGACAATATCGATGACGAGCCACAAGCGCGGTAGCCACATTCCTCCAGAAATCGGTGCGTGTCAGAGAAATGGCTATCATGAGATATGAATTGCTGTCATGTCCGGAATGGAAGAGGCTGCGATGTCAGGGATGGTGGAAGCTGGCATCCTGTGAGCTGCATCATCTCGCATTGTCCGGATTGTAATTCTCAGGGAGGTGAGTAGAGAGGACCTCAAGTTCCTCGACTGTGTACGCAAGGAGTGGATGAAGAGTAAATGAAGGCAAATTGAGAACTGAATGATTCTGCTTCAGAGGTGGAATGTATGTGTCATGTTTGTTGAGGTGGCCCATCATTGATCGAGCTGTTGACCATGGGATAGAGGAGAGAAGAGAGGGGAAGAAGGGAGGAAAGATGACAAGTATAGGTTTTGTGTTTGCTATGTGTTCGGGCCTCTTTCCAGATGGTTGGAGGAGGGAGAGGAACGGAAAATAGGAGGGAGGGAAAGGAGGAAGAGGAAGAAATATGCACTCTGTCACCCTGTGTCTTTGATATGGTCCACAGCTTGTGACTACGTAGCAGGCTGGAAGGGTGAGGCAGGGTCAAAAGGGCAGAGAACACTTGGCATAGACTACATCTTCTATTCCCAGGAGAGCAGAGGAAAAACAAGGGAGGAAAGGTTGTCCTTGAGGTTGGTGGAGGTGCAACTGAGCATCATGAAGACAGACTTTGGGTGCTAAGATCCACAGTCAAAAGGGAATCAGCCCAGATCGTATGGGGACAGAGAAGGAACGAGGTAGACGGGAGTAGAAAAGAGGAACGGAAGCGTGAGATCCATTCTGGACTATTTTGTTTGGCTTAGGGGATGATCGGAGAGGGAGGGAGGATAGTATGCTAGCACATTTCTAGTATGTGCATGCTTTTATCCGCCTTTCTGACTGTGCTGAACCAGCTCTGGTGTCTTGGATCGGAGTCAGCAAAAGTAACTGAGGGCATAGTCTCACTGGGACTTTCCTGAATGCATCGGGTATGGTCGGATTCGGGGTGTACTCTCACTAGGACTTTTTTCTACTAAGCTCTAGACGCGATTGCAGTTACGTTCATCCAGGTCTGGGCTTAGTTGCAGTCAGACACTTAAGAAAATTCGTAGTGTGAGTATGCCCTCAGTCAAGAAAGTCCTTGTGTGACTATGTCCGGACTCAGTCAAGGAAAGTATTGGGTCCTGCAACCGTCCCCAAAATAGAACGTATGGCAGGGTTGCATAGCTGCCGACCGCCGACCCCGACCGCCGACCGTTTTGCAGCCGACCAGTAGGCCCGACCGGTCGGCGGTCTGCCGACCAGTCAGAAAACAGCCATCCACTAATTTGTTTTCAGATCCGAGTTGGAAGCTGTACTGTGCTTGCTGACAACACTGACGTATGGTCATTATCACTGTATCTAGTCTGGAAGTTGCCCCTAATACAGCGATAATGACTGTACGTTCTACTTGGGGGAAGGCGGTAGTAGACCTAAGACCCAATACTCTACTGCTTGTTGGCTGGCTCCTTTCATCACATTCTGGCTGGCGGCTGCCACATCCTGTCCCTCCTTTGGAGTTTCAGCCACCTGAAATGAAAATTGGGCGTTTTTAACTTCCTGTCCCTTTCTTCTTACTCTTTTTGTGGTAAGACCTGTTCGCTACCCTTGTCGTCTTCTCGTTTAGGGTCTTCGCACTTTATCATTGTTTTTCCAATGCACTATTGCAGCGAGGTCAGCGCTATTGGAGCAAGGTCAGGCCTGTTCGTTACCCTCAGCTTCTCCTCGTTTGTGGTCTTCAAACTTTGTCATTGCTTTTTCAATGCAATATTGCACCAGGACATTGGCAATGCATGACTGCAACTATCACTCCAGTTTTGCACCGATTCTCACTCAATGCATCGAGTACTGCAGTGATTCTACAACTGCTACCGCAATTACGACGGGAATCACTGCGAGCACCACAGGAATCACTGCGGTAATTGCCACTCCGGTTTCTGACCAGTTCTCACTAAATGCGTCTGTCACGGCAGCGAGTTGTAGGGATTAACTGCTACAAAAATTGATACCGCAATCGCCATCATGGCAATAACCGCACCAGTCACCACAGAATCACCGCGGTAATTTCCACTCCGGTTCTACACCAATTCTCACTCAGTGCATCTTTTACTGCAGTCACTGGAATTAACCGCCACAACTGTTACCGCAGTCGCCATGGGGAAAAATTCACAACGCCAAGTACCACAGGGATCACCACAGTAATTGCCCTTGCATTGCGTTGAAAGACAGCCGCCACTCTCATTATAATTCGAATTGAAATTCGCTATTATTCACAGCAACTACCACACCATTTACCATTGCAATTGAGTCACCAGTGTAATTCCCACTGTATTACCGTCATTCATATGGAAATTCACTGAGGTAACAACGGTGCAGTTACCTCTGCAATTCCGCCTCCAATTCGTACGTCGAAATTACGAGTCACCACTCCGCATAACTGCGGCAATAGCCTGCTGCAGAAGAGCTTCTTGGGTATGATAGTTTTTTTTTTTTTTTTTAGTACTTTTTACCTCTTTGTATGTGTGATTTGAAGCGTAGGAGGCATGGGAGGTGGCCCTTTTGGAAAGCGGAGAAGAAAGAGATGAAAAGAAAGATGCGCCGCCAAAGGTTATCTTTTCACAAAAAGGGGGTTTGGATCAGTATTTACTATTTAGGGTGTTTTTTTCTTTCGTTTTGGTGTTGACCGTTTGTTTATTTGGTGTGTGCTCTACGGATGCGTGCCCAGTTTCGTCAAGAAGTTTGTGGTTATCTTAACTTCCCTAGCTTTATTCTTATTATCATCCTCGGCAACGGCAAAGATCAGGGGGGTCCATTAGCCATCTCTCCCATTGGGCTGTCCTAAGCTTCCAAAATGCGTCTAAGAACGAAATTGTTGAGCAGGGGCTACAGGATGAGATTGAATGCCGCTCATGTCACGGTGCGGTAGTAGCCTCGCTGTTCTGCTCGCCCACTAGGCTGCCCTTTGGAAGTGTGATTAAGAGGTGTGAAATTGGTCAGCAGGGGCAACAGTCTCAGAGGTGAATGCCACACATGTTACGGTGGGGTAATAGCGTGATTGGACACTTTCGTTCGTTGGTAGACGCTTCGAGCGTGCACAATTTCAGTCACTATTTACTGGCGTATGTCTCTATCTATCCCTGAGATCTCTCTTGAGGATGGTCTTGGGATCATCATCCGCCAGCTTCCTTCTCAATGCATGCGGAAGAATTTGCGGAAGTCTTGAAACGGAACATCTTGTAAAGCGTCGATCTTTGTTATTTACTATTTAGTGTTTCTTACAGAACTGTTTACTATCTTTTCTATCTAAATGGATAGTTTTGTTTCGCTGGAATGCCGCTCTATTCACCGGCTTTGTTCTCTCTTTGGAAGGAGCTGCTGAAGCTCCAGATTGGGCCAGCTTGTGAGGCATTGCCCTATCCCTCCCCCCCTTTGGCCGCCACTGCTTGGGATACCTATTCTCAATTTGCCACTCACTGCTCACATGCTCATGAGCCATACCCGTCATGCTTTTTTTCCTTTCCTTGTGGAGTTGTGTATTGTGGACATGACAGAGATTGCACACATTGGCGCTCAAGCATCTTCAACCTGACCAGCCTTGTACGTGAGAGGCACAGTAGTAAGAGGGGAGCTACGAGAACAAATAAAATGGGAGGCCTCGCAAAGATAGCTGAGGTAAACATAATCAACAGAACGATATAATTGATCCGATTCCGTTGTGTTTTATATTGCTAACTGTTTCATTGTTGGGTTGGCTCATCTCAAGTGTGTGTCACATTGCTTGTATAAAGGTAAGATTCCTATGATTTTGGATAAAGATATTGTGCTTCATGTTGCTGACTGTAGAGGCAAAACTGTTTCATTTGTGGATTGGCTCATCTTGAGCATGCTTCATCGTCGGCAATGGAGGTAAAGTTGCTGTGATTTTGGACCTGCTCATGTGGGTGGAACAGGGGATGTTGTGGTGACAACTCGTGACAGCATACATAGTATTACACACACACGCACACGGGGGATTTTGGGATTATGGTACTCTACTACTCTATACATTCCAGAGGCTAGAGAGCAGATGGGGGATGTCTAGCCATGGCGTGATAGAGACGGTGATGACGTGAGTGGGTCGTTTGGGAGGAATGGCAGTGCCAGTGGTGTTGTGCTTGTGGGGCGACTGGGAGGGCTGTCCAAGTTTTTGTGGACTATTGGTGGGTATGGTCGGTGCTTTCTTGCTGGTGAAGGCTTCCGTTTGCCCTTCACCTTTTTTATAGATTGAAAAAACTATATATATATCTGTGCAAGTGTGCTGCTTCGGCAGCAGACGGGTGTGAGGGCACTTCCCGCTCAAGCACATAAATGTGGGGAACCTTGCATCTTCCATTATATTGCCTGCCTATGCTTTTTTTTGTACTGTGGATGGTTTATGATTATTTGTGGATCGAATGCGAGAGAGAATTTGTTTTTTTTAAGAAAACACACACACATCGGTGAAAGTCCGACGAAACAGTCTGGTACAGTCATGCTTTTTTTGAGTGTATAGCGAATATGACAACACACACACACACACACACACACACACACACACACACAGACACATGGGCTGTTTGGATGTTTACTGGTGGCCACGAGTTCTCTTTGGGGGGAATGTTTTTTTTGTGGGCCGGCGTGGAAGGCTTTCCCAGTTTTTTTGGACCCTTAGCAGGGGGGGGCGGGCGTTCTTGCTGGAGGAGTCTTCTGTCTTAGGTAAGTTGTCTCTTATCTTCTTCCTCCTCTTTGGCAGTGACACGAGTGTGTAGTTTGAGATGAATGTTGGGAACGCCAATGCTGTTATATTTGTTTCTTTTTGGTAAATGAGTTTTTGGTTTTGTGGGCTCTTCAAGTTTTTTTGGACCTTTGAGGGGGTCGGCTCGGTACCTTCTTGCTGGGTAGTCTTCCGTCTTAGGTAAGTTGTGCCTTCTGCGCTCCATCCCCTTATGGTTTGAAATATATATATGTATACATATGTATATGTGCAAGTGTGCCGCTTTGGCGGCAGCCGGGTGTGTGGGCACTCAGCACTGAATCACACAAACGTTGCCAACCTTGCATTTTCTATTATATTGCTTATCTATACTTTTTCGTTATGGATGGCTTGTGATCATTTGTGAAGGGAATGAGAGAGAGAATCTGGGGTCTTTAAAACAACACATGCACACATACTCTGCCCCGTGTTGTTTGCTATAGAGATGAAACTGTTTGGTTGCTGGAATGGCTCATCTCAAGTATGCTTCATTGTCTGCAGTAGAGGTAAAGCCGCATCGATATTGGATCTACTCATCTGGGCAGAACAGGGGATGCTGTGGTGAAATCTACAGCGCAAACACACA